TCTCATACGATTTCACTATCAGTTTGCAGGATTTCTTCTCGCCTGGGTGAGCGACTATTTTCTTGGATTCCCTTATGTGCCACGATCAGTAACTGTACTGGAATCGTTCTATCAAATATTATCAGCATCGCCCACGGTTTCCTTGGTTCCTTTGCATCGTTTCTCCATTTCACTGCCTTTACGCTAGGACTCATTCTTTTAATTCTGTATGGGCTGCATAGGACTCCGGCGTGGGAGGAGTTTGACTGAGGGAAGAGCGTTTGCCAGCATTTTTTCTTCAAAGGGTTGGATTGGTGACAAATTTCCTGTCATGTCTGATGATATTGTCACTTCAGGGCTTTCATGCTGTAACCTAGAATGCTGTTCTTTGACTTCATTTTGGAGCTACGAATGGATAAATAGATGAATCTCGAACTTGCGTCTCCTTCATGCTTCTTGAGGATCCCCTGGTTCTTCTTGGTTTCAGCAACTCTTTGTTCTTTGGATCGCTGAAACTTCATTATGTTTTCCCGACACAGCATCGTCCTCTTTCATAACCTCTTTGTGCCAGTGCAAGCTAAGACAAAGGAAGAAAACTGAAAAGTAAGTCAGGGCCCATTCAATGCTATTCTTTCAACATCAACATTTACCTTTGTCACTGATGCAACTCACGTTCAAAACAATGTAATCCTTCAGAATGCTCTTGCCTTGAAGAAGGCGATAGGTCTCGCTATGCTTCTTGTGCTTCATCACTTTTCAATAAAATTTTATTACAGTGACGATCGAAGGTCGAACCAGCAAATCCGACATCTATTTTTGGCCTCTACAATCTCCATAAGAGATTTTGAATGATCCAACCCTTTGTTCAGTTTGACATTGTATGCTTCAGAATGCTTTGTTGCTACTGTATCTGAAGAAGTGTCAACAATGAAGCCAAATGCCTGGATTGCAGAGCAGAACCCCGTCAAGATGAGGTATAAGTACAGCTTTCTCTTTCTGCATCTGGAACTCTCCAACAGAAATCAGTTCCATATTGCAATCAGCTATCGTCTCACTCACACTTCCTTTTCCTGCTTTATCCGTTCACGACCGATCCGAAGTACCGATCCTCCAGCGGCCTTTGCACAAGCGGATCTCCTAGCAGTAAGTACACCAAGACAAGATGTCTGGGAGAAAGCGGAGAATTGACGATGTCGACAACAGCGACAATGACAGCCGGAAAAAACAAGCGAGAGTTCCAAACCTAGGCAGTGGAGCGAACAGTGGACAGTCCTCTTCAGTGTTGAACGCTGAAGCTGTTGCCAAAGCTCCGAACACGACAGCTGCCGTCGCTAGCCAGCCTGTGAGTGGTGAGGCCCTTGGTACCAAAACTGCTCCCGCAGAAGCTGAGCAAAGCCGAGACAAAGGGAAACAGCGGCAAGAACAAGTAGAAGAAGCTAAAGAAGCCGCAAAAGAAGCTGCAGGGAGACTATCAGTTGACAACAAGGAGTCCACTGCAGGACCTTCCACTGAATCAAGCAAGCAGCCTCGGGTGAAAAGGCAGCGTCGCAAAAAGACCGACCCAGTGCCAGACCCCGTGGAGAAGGCTCTTAGCAGGATTGAGAACAATCCTACCAAGCGTACTGACAGAGCGTGTGACAATTGCAGAGTAAGTGATCAATAACCCCTTCCTCCTCTATCTTTCGCTACAACGGATGGAATAGATGAGTACACAAACGGATACCGTGAGTGGGATCCTCTTTCATTTTCCTCCTCATGCTATTTCCCCGAGCTTCATTCCTCCTATTGCCCAGTTCTCAGTTAGAGACTAACGCCGGTCTTTTGTTCAGGTTCAGAAGTTGAAGTGCGACAACGATCCTGATGGCTGTGCACAATGTGTGAAAAGGAGTATGCAGTGCACATTGACTTTAGCAACCCAGAAGACCTATGTTCGGGGAGCTCCTCAGGAGACTGGACAGGCCCGAGATGGATTGAATCTTGAGGTTGAAAGGCTCCGCGAAGATGTTAACTTGCTGCAGCAAGATGTTATCTTGCTCCGGCGAGATCTCCACCTGCTACGACAGGAGAATATGCAGTTACGTCGCGAGCTGGCCGGTCTTCAGGCAGGATTTCCTAACCAGAATGTGAGTAACAATTATTCTAACATATACCATTCTGTTATGCTGTCAAACAGCTTAGTGAGACGTGCAGATGCTGACTTGAGACTAGCAATATCCTTGGAATCCTCCTCCGGCTGAGCAAGCGCCTCCCCACGCCCCCTACGAAGTGCCTCCTCAAGCCCAAGCGGCAGGGCAAGGAGCTGGCCACATGCCACTTCCTGTAAGCTTTCTTCCGGCAGGACAGGAAACACTCTATCCCGAGCTTCCCGCAAACCCTCCTCTGGAAGGGCAAGGAGCTGGCTACTTGCCATTTCCTGAAAACGCTCCTCTGGCAGGACCGGGAGCAGGCAATCCCGCACCTCCTCCAAACCTTCCCCTGGTGGGACCAGGCCTTCTCAACTTTCCACCTGCTCCGAACCTTCCTCCGGTAATACAAGAACCTGCCAATTTCCTACCTGCTCCAACAACGCCTCCGCCGGGGCAAGGCTCTCCCTCCGTTCGATCTGACAGTAGTAGTCCCTACCGGACATCTTCCGAGGCGAGTACAGACAATGATGACACCAATTCCGGTGCTACTAACAATGATCCAGCTTTCGCTAACCAAATTGTTCCCCCAATGACCGAGCTGGGAGGTGCCCAACCGGCTCTGGAAGCACAGCAACTTGGTTACCAGGACACTATGGCCGATCCCACTGCGATAAGCGGTCTCGATGATGATTTTCTGGAAGGTTTTGTCGCTCAACCAGCTGATCTGAACGACCTCAATGACTTCAATGTCTTCAATGCCTCCGGTGGTGACAATGGCGACGATGTTGACAATGGTGGGGATCCCATAGACTTGTTAATGCTACCTGCTGACAGAGCTCGTCTCGCGGGCTTCACCAATCAGCCGTCTTATCCCAGTGCTGCTAATGCTGCGGGCCCAGCGACAGACCCCTTAACAATTGATCCTGCACAACTTAACTTGCAACCAGTTGATTACCCGCAGGTTGCAAGTCCAACTACGACACAGGCAATGGCAGATATTCTACGGTATTTACAAAACGGGAGAGACAATGACGGTCCTCAGCAGAACTAACCAACTGCTCTTGAAAATACTGACAGCAGGGCGAAGCAGCACAACTCTCATGTTTTCCAATGCTTAGCAAGCTGGCGTTAGTGTTCGGCGATGACAAAAATGTTCAAGGTGTCTTTGCTATTTGGAATGCTGTACTGCATTGCGATACCCTGTTGCACTTGATCTTCTTACCCTTTTACTTGACTCTTGAGTTTTAACTGCGTCGAATATCCTTTATGCTTTTGCTTAGACATGGTTGGCATTTGTTGATCGACATTGAGGGGCCTGCCCCTGATTGTCCTTCACTTTTAGATATGCCACTCATTCATTGCTCAGGTCCGGAATAGTTAGATAATCCCAATGTGATTGACGTGGCTATTTGCTTATAGTGTGGTGATAGTTACATGACACGTCTCATCTGCATCCTATCCTTCCTATTCTGGAAATTCTTCGGGAGTCCCCAAGTCCACATCTGGTCATTCCCGTGACATTACCGTGGTCGACGATGCCTCCACTGTCTGCCAGGAGCGTACACAGTACGCACTTCAAACTTGACTGGAGACGTAACTGAACAAAGAACTTCTTCCTGAGAGATAGCAGCCACAGCAACTTATTTAAACAACAACTACGGCCAGCTTCCAAAAGTCAATGATCTAAGGTGCTTTACAATGTTGACATATGTTCATCAACCCCTTGCTCACTGCTTCTGAGGAAGCGCACCGATCACTTAGTACGTGTATCTCAACCAAAAGCAAAAGTACCATATCACAAAACGGTCCCAAAGAGGACTGAATATCTGCCACAAGCGAAGACGGTCGCTGTTCATACATCCAATCTGTATCCACCAGGAAATCTCCATCACAGACTGATCTACTACCGGGTAACCCCCATCCACGTCATCTCCCCTGAGGACAAGGACTGCTCTGAGGGCATACTCCACACTCGCACCACCACGCCTTCTATACATAGAAACCAATGCATCACCCTGAAGATCAAAGCAGGTGGCACAGGTACATATAAATCCATTCCACTTGGGCGAACATTCATCGAAGTACAAGTTCCCAAGCACACGCTCCTTCCTGACAGGCCTAGCTACTATCTTACACTCCTTCAACCACTCATCCGCCATCCCACTCCAGTCACTCATTCTTTTCCCTTGATCTCAAACATCCAGACAACATGAGATTCACATTCTTTGCTGCTCTCGCCCTCCTCGGCACTGCTTTGGCGGCTCCTACTGCGCCTACTACCTCCAGAGCTACTGTACGCTGGAAGGCCAAGAGCCATGCATGATGATCGAAATGAGAAAGATTGCTAATGCGGTGGCATAGATCCCGGCTGGTCAACCCTGCACGAAGAACGGAAGTATGGGCGTCTGCCAGAGCGGACTCTGCTTGGTGAGTTACTCTGCGTCCTCAGCTCTCAGGGGGCCCGAAGGCGAATACTGATTGATACTCGCGGTATGGTGCAGCAAGATGAGAAGGCCTCTTCTGGAGTCTGCAAGTGAACGAAGAAAAGGAATCCCGTCGAAAACGGGCTGTCATTCCAAGGAAGTTATACGTACCTCTTGAGAAGGCTGTGAAACCATATACTTTTAATCTATTTGAACCTAATTAAGAACCTGGGTATTGCGTACTGTCCGCCATGGAAATGTTTCTGTTCTATATCTCACTGAAAGCATCTAGTATAATTGAATACGAAAAAAATGACATGACGCCCACTTATGCTCGAACCAATCCCAGGGGTATCTTCCTAATTGCTGTATAGGATTATGGAGAGACCAAAACTCCAGACCGACATGCCTCTAATCGATAATGTGTAAAAGAGAAAAGTATCTTCAGTGCTCGTCTCATAGCAGACGATGGCTACCGCTCAGACCGTCTGCTATTCTTTCTAAAACCGCAGCAGATGCCGTTGCTCTCACACCACTGCCTCACAAATTCTGCACTGACTTCTCTGTCCTCATGGACAAGCCCCAGTCCCTCGATGTTGAGCCAGGTGGCAAAATCCTCCAGGACGATGGGATCGTACATCAGAATTTTCTCATGCCAGCTAGGGCGCTTGCAGCCAACGGAGAACGATCGTGGCTGCAATCGTATAGCCTTGGTTATCTGGCTGGCCAGATCTGGCAGACTAGATTCCGCTACAGAATCAGGAGACGGTTTGGTGCCGGAGTCAGCATTTGTCCGCGTCGGACTGGATGGCATAGTTGAAACAGGCAGAGGCTGACTGCTACTGCTTTCTGACATATGGCGCTTGTAATGACTCTGCAGCCGACTGGGAGATGGTATGAGCTCATCTTCCGAATCCTCAATTTCTTCCACATCTGCAAATGATGACTTCGCCAACGCCTGACTCGATTTGTTAGCGGTGTGACTCGGTTTATCCTCCAGAGCTGCAATCGGTTTCGCCTCTTCGGCGAGACATGCGCTCTCCTTTTTCGCCTTTTTAGCTGCATCCGTCGTCGAGGTTTGCTTGTTTGTCTGCGATTGAGCGCTAGCCTTTCCCGTCGAGCCGTCATCTGGTTTTCCTGGAACATCTTGAACAACGGTCGGTGTGCTCACGTGTTGCGCCTCCCAGCATTTTTCAAGCACTTCAATCATCTTCCTGCGACTCTTCATTGGCTTGAAACCATACAATCTGACTTCCCTTGACAAATCGGAGTCCTTCCAATCAGCGAATCGTGGCATTGGGCGAATTTCCGATGCCCTGCAAACGGTTTCCTCCGATTTAATTTCGCTGGTTATCAAGTTCTCCGTGTATATGCCGACTCCCGCCTCAACTTCATCCGTGATCTCTACAGACCGGAGAGGTTTTCCCTGAGGCACTGTGTTCTCCTCATCCTTTTCAGTCCTGTCCTGTAGCTCACCATCGGGTTTCGGCGGAAGCTCGGAAATGTCAGAAATGTCTACCATATCCAGCACCTCAATTTCAGCTAGGGATCCATCCACATCTCTGGCTGCGACAGACCATAAATCTCTTGGAGTTTGGAAGCGCGATACTGCGGTACGAGAATATAAACCAGACACTTCCCTTGTGGTCGAAGAAGGCTTGCGGTTTTCAATCATACTATTTTCTGACGCGCGTATTGCCTTTTGCATATCTCTGAGCATCGTTGGCGAGTCTTCCCGCTCCAACTGACTGCATGTTCCGAACATCAAATCCTGATCCTTCAAGTAATTGACGGCATCCTCAGGAGGGAGAACACTTGAGTCGATGTCCAGGGATATAGAGAACAATTTGCCTTCAGACAGGACGTTGTTGGTGACATCATCTGAGGCTCTCATCATGGCGCCTGCTGCATCCAAGTGATCTGTACTATCATTGGTGTATAGGGCTGTCACACGGCCAGTAAGAGTTGTGATCTTTCTGCTTCTTTTCCTCGGCCTCCCCTCGCCTGCTGAGGCTTTGGAGGATCGAGTGCTGCAGACATTTGAACGGTTACTATCAACCTTCGGCGATGTCCGCTTAGAATTTGATGTGTTTCGAGTGTCTACAAGCTGCAAAAAGGTCAGAATGCGCTGCAGGATGATGACAACCCTAGAACACATACCTCTAGTCGCCTGCGCTTCGTTGGAGCGCCACCGTCAGAGAGTTTCAAGTCACCTTGAGAATCGGTGGCGGCTTTCAAAAAGCCATATTCCGATAGAAGGCTGCCGAAGCGAATCTTATCGTCGTCAATATCATCCAATTCGACGGCTCGCTTGCCAGTGTCCTTCGTAGGCGTCCAATCTAGCCTTCTCTTCATAGCTACTTCAAGTTGTAAGCCATCCTTCTCCAACTCCAGTTTGTTCGCTGAACTTTTTCCCGGTGAGACGTCCGATGTCACAAGTTCCTTGGTTTTATCTTCAGATTTGACAGTCTCGGTAATGCCGGATTTCGCCACTTTCCCAGTGATCGTCTTGTTTTTGGACGTAGTGCGCTTTTTCGCAGCGTCTGTGCGCTTTTTCTTTGATCCTGTCCCTTTCTCGGACGTGCATTCATCGTGTTTCGGTATGGGAGGTTCAGAATGGTCAAAGAGCGTCTGTGACTCGTTCGTAGATTGTTCTTTCGCCCGTATCTGTCTTCCTCCTCGAGCCACCTTCTTTCTCCTCGGTGCAGCCAAATCTTTCAATTTAGTCCCTGTTTCAGACTTTTCTTTCCCAGCCCTCGACGAGCTGTCGTTTCCATTTTGAGTTTTGAAAAACCGCGAGCGCACGGGTGGCCGAAACAGCTCTGACGGAGAAGGCAGAGGCGAAGGGGACGAAGAAACCGGTGATATGCCGCATACCTTCTCCGGATCACATTTTGGCTCTGCTGGAGAGTGAGAGGGAATCTGATCTGGCGAAGAAGAGAGAACGATTATGTCTGTAGCTGTACACATGGTGGCAAATGAGATCTGCGGCCAAGGACCGTACCCTGTCGGCAAGTCATTAGTCTGATATAGAGTTAGAGTCCAGAAAGATAATGTATTGTGCAGCTGCAAAGAGCTGTCAGAAAATCAATGGTTAGTCCATTATTGAAACTGATGTCGCGAGCCTTGGGATGAATGAGAATTGATGAAGCTGCAGGTTTGTCGATTGTCTTGGCGGTGCTGTGAAATTACCACTTTAGGTAGCATTGATTGGTGGGCCAGGCAACGAGTCCATTTAGGAAGGAAACGACCATCGCAGCTACGAAACTACAGGGCACCATAAACCTCACAGAAAACTTCTGTATATCAGAATGGATAAGATACAGTAGTTAATTTGTTTCAGTTTCGAGAACAAGATGTATTGTTGTCCCTCGCAACATTAGTGAGCATTGGCGGACTCCTCAGTTTCCCATATCATTTACGCGCAACTGGCGCCAGCACCCAGACACTGTTTCTTGGGTAGTGTGCAACACGATTCATCACAAGGTCATATGTGGTGACAGGTAACAACGGACGCCGTACTGACATTGTCACCCAACTGCTTTAGGAGGGCAGCAAAAGGGGATTGATCCTGAAGAACTTCGGGCACGGTCATAGTGCGTTCACGTAGGTCAACCCAAACGGCATGTAACTTGCTCTTGTAAGATTGAGCATCGCATGAAGATCCCCAAAGTGAGGAGGTCATAGTTGTTGAGACAATAACGGCTTCGGATCACATTGCCCCACGCAGAGCAATTGCACCTATGAGCGAAAGTTCCAGTCGTCGCTTCTCATCGTCCTGAGCGCCTAAAGCGCCCAATTTGTAGGCTTTCTTAATCTTCGAAACGTCCGAGATTTCAGACAATGTCTCATCAGCGAATGGTACGGGAGAACCCTCAATTGATTTCTGCAGATGCGCCGCTACCGATTCATGAGTAACATCTGGCGTTACGGAGACTTTGACCACCAACAGGTCTGCCGTCGAGTCTGTAAGGCCGAATTTGCGGAAAGAGTCTGCAATCTGGTGTATTGTCAGTGATGCTCGTGAAAAGCATATTGCTCGTCTGTGCAATCTGAAAACGCACATTGTTGGCGGGGCTCAAGGAGAAGACGATTTCCGAATGGACATTGCGCGACTTGAGACGCCCATTGAGATAATCATTAACCGCTCTGAAGATGGCGGAAAGGATATGGGTCCTTGAAAAGACCTTATTCATTTCAGTATGCTTGCTCAAGTGCGCTTTTCTTATGTGGTCCATACCATGCTTGCATCAATAAACGCATACTCGAAATCACCATTGCCTGACAACAGCTGCTGCCGGAGAGACGGTGCGTTTTTCACATCACGATATAGAGCTATATGAATGGGCAGAGCTGAAGGCAGATGAGGAAGATATATGGTCTCAAGGAACACAGTCATGGCGCGCACTCCCGTCTGAAATGTTAATCGCAGATACGAAAATGTTGAAGCAACCAACTCAAAAGTCTTTCTTTTCCTATTCTGCACTTTCTCAGCTACAGCCTCAGATTGACCATTTAAAACGATCGCAGGAGATAATCAGTAACTCCGATTCCTCCGCGACACAATTTCTCCTGCCCCTCCCCCCACTATGTCACTGGTAGTAAGCTATAATCACGTGACTGCGCTTCTCGAACTTTCGGGTTCCCGTAGTGGATGCCGCCGGAGGTTGCTGATATCACCGGCGCTTTGCTTAAAAACACCGTCGTCATCTCTCCTACTTTGAGCCATCACCGTCATTGCTCACCATCACAGCTCGCATCATCATAGCTTTGGTACATTCATTCCAGTCATGGCGTTCTTTCTAAGGCGCCCCTTCGCCGTTCCGACGGCTCTTCGTCAAGCCCCTAAGGCTGCGAACACCGCTCGCTTCATCCACAACTCACCCATCAAGCCCGTTCAGTCGAAGCCTCTAAGTCCCTGCTCGTCCTCGATCTTCGCACCGTCCAGGCAGACTTTCCGGAATGCCTTCCGCCGCACGTACATGCAGCCCTCCTACGGTACAGCTCAGCAGCGTGGCGACCTCACCCAGCGCCTGCTCTACGGTGCGGCCATTGTGGGTGGCACTATCATGGCTACGAACTTCATCTTCAACCGTGAAACAAGAGAGGATGGCGGAATGCCTCACTACGAGCGAAGTTATCTGAATGAAACTTTCATGCACACCGGACTTGGTATTGGTATTATTGGTATCGCCGCTAGAGCTTTGCATATGAATGGATGGTCTTATCGTTTGATGGCCACCAACCCTTGGCTGGTTGCTGGTGTTGGTCTGGTTGCCAGCATGGGCACGATGTTCGGTACCTACTACACTTCTCCTGATAAGTAAGTTTTTCGAGTGTCTTTTCTTCTTTGTTGGGTGGTATACTGACGGATACTTAGCTACGTAATGAAGTATGGTCTCTGGGCTGCCTTCAACGTCACCCAGGCTGCGCTCCTCTCCCCTCTGATGTTCATGCACCCTGCCCTGCTCGCTCGTGCCGGTCTTTACACTGTTGGCATGATGGGTTCGATTGCGTTCGTCGGTGCCACCGCGAAGCAGGAGAAGTACCTCTACCTGGGTGCTCCTCTCCTCGCTGGTGTAACCATCGTTGCCCTTTCCGGCTTGGCTCCCCTCGTTATTCCCGCCACTGCCGCGCGTGCTCTGATGTGGTCCGAGAGGATTTGGTTGTACGGTGGTCTCGCTGTCTTCGGTGGCTTCACCCTGTATGACGTCCAGAAGGTTCTGCACCACGCTCGCTTGGCCGAAAGAGGACTTGTTCGCAGGGACGTCGTCAACGAGAGCATCAGCCTCGAGTTGGACTTCATCAACATCTTCGTCCGTATGGTGCAGATCTTGGCCATGCAGCGCAACAACCGGAAGTAAGCGTGATCTTGCTTTGAAGTGAAACATCGCACCTGGCCCGCATGGATCCAGCCAGGACCATAGAGCGAAGGAATCTGGTGCCTTCTGTCTCGGAATATCCAAGAGATTTTGTTAATTTGATAATTGGTTTATTGTTAAGAACTTGTTTTAAGGGTATATGGCTTTCGGGGAGTTTTCTGCTTTTTGCACCGCTAACGGCCAGGCATGGCATCTAGTCGGCATCCTATACCCTTTCTCTAGATCGGGTGTAGAAGGGTTTCACCACCGGAGTTTACACATTTTGGCATAGCTAGAAATAGTGGAAAGATAATCTCCACTCATATTAAGTGACATTAAGAAAAGGAGGAAAGCGATTTGCGAGCGACTCATTCTGTGCTAGATGAATTGTGGTATGCTTCCGATCACGTTTGAGCGTAAGAGGCTGCCTTGGGTACATCACACCTAGATTGGTTTGAAAGATCATATAACAAGTGTCTTCAGAGTAAACATTAAAAGGTCAACACCATAATATCAAACTTGAAATCATACAACCGATTAACAGTAGGCTCAAGGTAGGCCGATTCAAGCGTCTGCCACCCGAGGATTGCATCGTGTTCTTTTTCAAAGTAAGATATGTCGTTCCATTCGACCTCCCAAATCCGCATAGACCACTTCCTTCCATCATGTCAGCGGGGAAAAGGACCCGAGGCTCGCCCTTATCCATGCTGATCTTGAGAAGACCCATGTCATTAACCGAGTAGTTGGCGCAATTGAGCACATCCATGACCACAAATCCAGGTTGGTAGCCTATTGGCATGTCCAGCTCATATTTGCCGCTGTTTGTGCCTTGGGTTGACAAGACCATCACGAGTTGCCGGCCCTCGACGCCTTTGCGGAAGCCCATCTCGCTAGACCCCGTGTATATGGGGAAGGTCTGTGAGTCCACATACGCTGGATCGATTTGGGCTGCATGCTTGCGGATTCTGTTCAGTTTCGTGGCTAGTTGGTAAAGCGGAGCGTTGGTGTCGTAACCAGACAGCCATAAGGCTTCGCGGTTCTCCGGGTCGTTGGCGCCTGAGAAGTGTTGTTCTTGCCCTTGGTAGATCATCGGTATGCCGTCGAACAGCATCGTGAATGTTAGAACGTTCTTAGCAAGCTGCGCCAGTGTTAGCCTATCATCGGTTGACACTTGACAGGGTAACCTGAGTCGATGCCTTACCGCGATGTCATTCTTGAAGCTTGCAAATCGGGCGACGTCGTGGTTTTCCGAGAACGAACTTAGGGCCGTGACATCAGAACATGTCTGTTTCATGACCTCTACCTGATTGGTCAGAGAGCTTGTGTTGCCTTTCGTAAATGCCTCCAAGATGGAATAATAGATGGGATAATTTGGGACACTGGGGAGGTCATTTTGATATCCGCAGATCGTCTTCACGGATGGCTCGAAAACTTCGCCAGTAATGAAAGCGCCAGAAGCATTATGGAACAAGGGCAAGAAGCTTGGTGTAATATGCTTCGCTGCATCCAGACGTAGACCGTCGATTGAATACGTAGACACCATTTTCCTAATCCAGTCCATGAGCATGCTCTGAACTTGGCTATCTTCTGTCTTTAGATCTGGCAGGGGAACAACATCATCACCTGTCCAGCACATCTGCGCCAGTGGATAGTTGTCATAGTCGGTGATCTTGCAATATGGATGGAAGAATGTGGCATCATTGAATGGGCTGAGCGTTGAATAGTCAATGCTCGTTGCTGGGTTTCGTCCGTTGGTGATGTACGCCATGTTGTTGATGACAGTATCTACCATCAAATACATGCCCCGGTCATGAACAGCCTTGGCCAAGTCTAGCAGGTCCTGGTGAGTGCCAAAGTGTGGGTTTAGCGCATACATATCCTGGACCCAGTAACCGTGATAGGCTTCTCCGTACTGCACGCGTCCCTCGACATTCTGGACGATTGGGGAGATCATGATGGCGTCAAAGCCCATTCCTTGAATGTAATCGAGCTGTTGAATTGTGCCTCTCCAAGAACCACCGCAGCGTAGCCCTTCTGTGGTGTTGCATGGATGAGTGGTGGACCCATCCGTACGTGCAAATCTGTCTGTCATGGTCTGATAGATAGACC